TAATGTTACATACGTACGACTTCGAGACTTTCCCGCAACCCCACGCATACTTATCGCACTTATCTAACCTTCATATAATATACATATGGAAATAATAAAATATAGAAACGTTTATAATAAATACACACAACTACGTGACTTTCCCCCCCCCCCCCCCACGCATACTTATCGCATTATGTGCACAACTCACCCCTACCCACACCATCACCGACATTTTTAGTACACACATTATTTCGTCAACTTTCGTTTACATCTTTTTTTACAATTCGTTTTTACTTTATGTAATAGACATACGGACATTTAATACATTTTTAAGTTCATAAAAAATAAAAATCCGCGACTTTCCCGCACCCGCACCCACACGCGTACTTATCTCATTACGTAATATCCATACATCGACTCCTACACTTACACTCACAGCTTTACAGCTACCAAAACACTATCAATTACATATTTGTTTTCAATATTTCCTACATTTACAACCTCACCTGTATCTACACCTCAATCTACAAGTACGTTTACACCAGGTTACACGCTTGGTTTTTGAATCTTGAGTTCAAGGACAGATCCGAGTAATAAAATATTAGTAGTATATTAGGTCACTTTTGATTATTATTTTTGGCGGAGGAGCGAAGGGGGAAGGGACAATGACATATAGTAAAATACTACGCCAACTGGCGTTGGCGGAGGAGCCGTAGGTACAACGAGATATAGTAAAATACTCCCAGCCTGGCGCAGCGGGATGGTGAGGAGCGAAGGGGAAGGCGCAAAGACATATAGTAAAATACTCCCCCACCCTAGGGTGGCGGAGGCGTGAAGGGTGACCTTGTGACGTAATCATTGACCTTGTGACGTAATCAGTGAACTTGTGACGTAATCAGTGACCTAGTTACGTAATTTTAATGCGTTTTTTAATTAGTTTTAATGAGTTTTTTAATCTACAAGTACGTTTACACCTTAATTCGATTTAAAACTTTTCATCATTTTAGATGTTTTCTTAAAAATAGCTACGCTGTCTAAATATTTAACCGCTTTAGACAAGCTCGTTTAAAAATTCGACTCGCCCCCTTTTCTCTTACTTTCTCACTATTCCCCACCACCGTGTAGCGAATATTCGTCATGGTTCGATTGATTGAGTTAATTTTTTGGCCTAAATGGTATAGTGTTTACCTTCTTGTACAATGAGTTTTTAAGAAACAAGTCAATCAAACTTGACCTTAATTGTAAGCGACAGACATAGGCTCCGCAAATTTACTTGTTTACATGTTTTAGTTCTCTAGCTTTTAAGAAGTTGTAATTTGTATTTCATTATTGTATTTGGCTATAGTTAATTTAAATGATGCACTACAATTTTTTAAGTTCATCTAGGGTCTTTAAAATACTACTGAGGATTGTATGCTTGTTCACATTAAATATTTATTAAAATATTAAACAAGCATGGTCTGCCGAAAAGATAAACCTTTTGTCTATATAGCCGCGTTGATTTTTGAGCGCATAGCAAAGTATTGTTTCTACTGCAGAAATTAAACCAAGGGAAATAATCGAAACAATCAACTTGTCGGCTGTAATGAGCTTGAGGTTTTTTAAAGTTTATTGTCCGTATAAATTTTGTCATACGTTAAAACTAATACCAATCGATAAAGGATTTAAATACGCACATTTTGATGTACGTTAAACGCATGAAACTTTAACGATAAGGTCTTTAGGATGTTTTAAAAAATCGAAAGTCAAAGAAGCATGCTTCTCTCCATTTCTATACTTCCTCATAAACTACTATATAAAAATTCTGCCTCCTAACCTACTAATCTATATATATATATATATATATATATATATATATATATATATATCTATATATATATATATATACGTATTAATCCATTGAAACCATTGTGCTATGATTTGTCATTAATGAATCATTGACTGTTTTTTTTTTTAACATTCTTTGGTCAGGTCAATATACATTAAGCTTAATGGACATTAACTTTAATCAGTAATAATTATAATTTTTCTTATTTGAGTGTTGAACTCTCTTTGAGCTCACGTAAAATTTAATTTAAAAAAACTTTGTTGTGTGAAGATTTGGGAAACTATAATTATTGCTTGTATCATTACTTGTGTTCTTCTTTAAAGAAACTAGAGGCCATAATATCCTTACACATTTACGTCTGTACAGAAAAGCTAATTCAAAGTGTGTTGGGGTGTAGCCAATTAATGAAGGAGAGTGATTCTGCATGAAAGCTTTAAAAATATAGAATAAGTTTGCGTAACTTTTGAATACAATGAAATTAAATCTTAATTTTTGTGTTTTAATCAGAGTCACGTACATACTAGTTTGTATACTAGTTTAAATAGTTAGTAAAAATAATGCAAATTAAGAAAGTATAAAATATTTCAACTGTCATTAAATACGGCCAAATTTAAGTTTTTTTCTGACTATTTTTCAAACTTTTTTCAAGTTAACATCTAGTTTGCAACAGCTGTTTGTTAAGGGTCTGTGGCGAATCTCGGTGAAGATAAGCATCTTTCATAGAAGTATTGCTAGTGTTTTATAGAAAATAATTTAGTGGTCTTGACGTCATAAATTATATCTCACTGAAAAGTAGAAAATAAAACAAATATAAAAAAAACGTTTATTGCAACTAGCTATTTAATGCGCTGAAAATAAGAAAATAAAATAAATCACATTTCTTTAAAAGAAATCTTTGTTCGCTCATGAGATCTTATACATACTTTAGCGGATTGGTTTTATATTCTTTTTTTTCAGTGCATTTAACAGCTTGTTGATATAAAAGACTCAACACATATGTATTTTTGCTTAACGTCCAGTTAAGCACTTGACAACAATCGTTCATTCAACCTATAGACTCTGTCGCTCATTGAGGACTGTGGCATGATTTTCCACTTACATCCATTTAGACGCGTCCTTAGTCTTCTTATTCCAAGTTGTCAAACGTATGTCACTATCATTATAAGCCAAAGTTTGTTTTGCTGTCGTATTCCTTCGTGGATTTGGTAAAACACCACACAATCTCTAAATTTGAACGAACTTTAATAGTCTTTTTTCAAAATCGTAATTACAAATTGTCTTGATTTCGAACAGCTCTCGATTGGTTATAACCTCAATTCCACTTTATCCAGTTTGGTACAGATGACTATATTTTTCGGTTACTGGATCGTCTAGATTAAATATCCACTCTCCTGCGTCATTCTTTATATCTATTTGGAAGTACATTTGATGCTTTATGAATCTGTCTAGATAGTACTCTATGAGATATTATACGAGGCGCCCATTTTCTACTCTAATTTGGTTTTAAATATTAATGTCGGTCTAATGAGGTGTGTTAACTGTTATTGCAAATTGTTTCCTATTAAGATCCACATATGATTGTTTAAATTTTCAGCATGAATGAAACAGCAAATCTAGATCTTTCTAATACAATAAAGTGAGATTTATATTGAAATTGTGATTAGCAATCATTTTTCCGTTTACTCTACTTTGTTATAAATGAAACTAGGTATTAACGAAAACATATTTTTAAAAATAGGGTAAATTTAATAAAAATTGTAGGAAAGTAATGCATTAAAAACGTTTTAACAACAATCTATTATATAACTATGCACTTAAATGTATAATAGTGACCTGATATTTAAATAACCATAAAGAAATTTTACTTAAATTATCCATTAGATAATATAGTAACTCACACTAGTGTATTATTAGTCAATTAAAGGAAAGCATCTTTAATCCTATTTAGTGCATGAATTTATAAAAGCTTATTATTAAAAAGTTTTATTTTCTTCGTAAGTACTTTAAAATGTTAAATTACAATTGTGTTTCATGGCAAAAACGATTTGCGCAACATGTGAACATGAAAAATTCACATATAATAGTGCGGTAAATACAGCTTTATATGGTATATTTTAGTTAATTCTAAAACAATTATTTAAACATATAAGTTAAATGTTATGTTATATTTCATTGTCATCGGATCTTGACCGCCGTGCTAGATTTCCCCCGCCTGTTATTATGCATAGGACAAAACCCGACAAACAAAAAAGCAAGCTTGTAAAATTGGGGAAAAATACATAAACACTGATTTGAACTCGTAAATCATCACAGTAGACAAAAATCCTGTGTAGTTGATTTTCATTTCTAAATTTAAAAAAAGTACTTAATGTAAAAAAAGAGTTTAATATCTGAAAACCAGTGTATTGATTTTGTGTATTAAGATAAATTACACAAACAGTGATATCTTCTAGACATGTATATTAAACTAACTTATTTCAACGCGGGGATCCATTGTCATTCGCTATGTGCGGCACACTATATGTTGTATTTGGTTGTTTTGATTCTCATCGCATAAAAACAAAATGGATAGAGCATCATCTTAGAACTCCAATAATCCCTAAACTTTAAACCGGATATTAAATGAAATCTGTACAGTATAAATATCCAGTGTGAAGAGGTGTCATTATGTCTTGCCAAAACCAGATACTAAGTCCCTATCTCCACCCTTTACAATAACCTTCTTACAAACATTTCCCAAACAGCTATCGTTAAATAAATGTACCCCACCTTTATAAGTATCGTTTACTCTACCCATTTCCTCAAAATTGCTCATTGTCTATCGCTAACATTAAACCCGTGTTAAACTCACTTTAACTAAATTCCTATCTTAACCCTAACTCTATCCCTATCAATGATGTTATATATTTATCAAAGCTGTTTACTTTAGCATCAGTTCCAATTAACCATAACTCTAAACAAAAACTAACATACGCGTAACACTTATTCATACATTAAATTTTAAATTAGGTAAATGCCTGCAATAATGTGCATCAACATCAATATTTGAATAATTAATCAAAACTTATATTATCCCTTGGGATCAGTATACTAATAAATATCGTATTTTTATGTAATACACAGCACTAAAACAAGATGTACAAAACGACACCAAAAAAGAACTGAGCACTTTAACCGCCAGTGTACAAAACGACGCAGATATCCGCAACTTTAAAAGGTAAGTAATTTGTGTAGCTTACAGGAACATGCCTAGACATTTGCAACAAAGAAGTGATACATTATAACTAACAAAAATTACATACGTCAGTAGGCCTACATATATTTTAATACTGACCGCGAGACCTAATTCAATGTATATCCTTTCACATAGAAGTAAACTCATAGGCCTACTGTGATGTTAACTTTGTCAAAAATGTAACGCTTCCCAATCACCCCATGATCACCCAGTTGATTCCCATTATGACAATCTAACTTATTGCGCAGAACATTACCCCGGTAACAATTACCCTCTATTTTTACACATACGCCGTCTAATCAGTTAAAGTAGGATATTACTCGATCATGAGGATGAAGATCGATATTACATTAAGGATCATGATCGTACTATTCTAAATATGAAGGCTTTAGAATGATTTGTTACATTTATATATTTGAACCATTTATGCAATTATCCACAACATTGTTATCGAAGCATGTCAATGCAATGTGTTTTTATTTTCTTGAAACTTTTATTATTTCTCATTATGTCGATTTTTGAAAAAAAAAAACATACATCCAAACAAATATTACACATGTTGTGTATAAATATTTTGTATAAAAACAGATCCATCGATTGCTATGTAAAGATTGTTCTTCTATCTCACAACAATCAGGTAGGAAGTTTTTATATTTTTAATAATACATAAACACGTATTAAGTGTTAATAGTGATTACGATTTCGTGATTTTCGTGAAACGGAAATACCGACTCATGAGTTGACCTCCCATAAGCCAGGCAAGCCTCAAAGTAGTAAACTCCGACTAAATGGCTTTGACGACGCCGGTTTGAACACTAGTGACATGTTGGTCATTTTTCATCCGTAGGTTCTTACCAGGTTTGTCTTCTCCACCGTGTCCTTCCACCTGGTACCCAGCTAGACCGTTAGGGGAAGGGGTGTTATGACCTAAAAAAGTTAGGGACACATTGTTGCCTCCACGTACAAACCCGCAAGTGCCGGGAAGTCGACTTTTTCGGTCGGGTGCTTTATACATTTCGGCGGGTGAGCTATAGCTACGGTCACACTTTTCCACTCTCCGCCGTATACAGGTTACCGAATGACCAGGCTAGCACGCCTATAACGTAGGGGGGGGGGGGGGGGGCGGACAATTACGCTTTCTCCCTTCAGCTGACAATCAGGCGGTCTTGTAGTCAAACTTTATATTAATTATGATTTTACATTACTAGATCTAGATCTATATTAAATTTGAATAATGCTATATTTTGTATTAAACAAAAACAACTCTACTTAAACTAACACTGATTGCACTGTTAAGTATCCGCTCAGCGGTTGTGTTGTTTGAATTTATTTTGAATAATTAGTAATTATCAAAAACTAAAGGGCACCATTTAAATTATTTAGTGTATTAAAGTAAATATATTGCAACTAAGACAACAGTGGCGCTTTCGTTAGTTAAGAGGAAAGAAAACCAGCCAGGAAAAATATTCAGGTTTGGAGAGGAAGAAATCGAAAGTTATTTTAGATCGCCAAAAAACATCATCCAAATGTGTCAAACTGGATTCATATTTTTCAAGCTGCACGTCTTTTACTTTGACAATAATACCACCAGAGTTTGATGTGTCTGAAGATATCCAAGTAGAACATATTCAAGCAACAACATCATCTCATATGCAGAATCAATTCGTGGAGACTCAAGACAATAAGATATAGTCCATGGCGATTTTAGAAGACACCCATTTAGAAGACGATAATGGATACAAATCTGGAATATCCGAAAGATCTGGCACGTGCATTACTTGAGTTTGGTTCTTGTGAATCAGGCCTCATAGACACTTATACAAATTTTCCCAAAAATTTATTTGGTCGACACTTTAGTGCTCGTTGGTACAAGAAAAAAAAACATACGAAATGTTGTCGGGAAATAGTACGACCCTGGTTAGTATATTCGCCCAAGGCAAATAATATGATTTATTTTGATTGTTGGCTTTTTACAAACAAGTCAGACACTTGGGTTGATCCAAAATTGGGTTGTAAGAACTTTGCAAAAGGTCCTGACAAATTTGACAAACATAAAAACTCTGAAAGTCACAAGATTGCCGAGAGATATTTTTTACTTTCTCGTATATACGAAGTATAGAGAAAGTATTGTAATCGTGCAAAAAAAAAATCGAGATTTTTACAAATCTCGACGTTTTACACCTCACTGATACGGAAAAACATAATTTTGCAATCTTGTCCGTATGTCTGTGTGTCTGTGTGTGTGTGTGTCTGTCTGTCTGTCTGTCCGTGTATAAACACGATTACTTGAGAACCGTTACAGCTAGGTTGATGAAATTTCATATATAAGTATTTTATCAAAATCGTAGATCCGTATCAACTTTTGAGCGATTTCCGATAAACGGAAGTGGTACTTTTCCTACTTTGAATTTTTCAAAAGTCTATAACTTGAGTACTATTTTAGATAGATAAATGAAATTTCACATGTAAGTAAAAGATCTAATTCTCTACCTTCTGTTAAATTTTAATGTAAATTTTTAAAGTACTAATAATATTGCGCACTATTATGCGCTTTTTTATTTGACGTTCACTTGGTGTGCAATTAATTTGTCTACGAGATTTTATTCTATTTTTAAAACTTTAAGAATTTAAAATGGATTAAAAATCATGTCTATAGCCCGAGTTCCCATCCCCTGTTATTTTATATAAAAATATTCGAGAAAGTTTAGTGGAGATCACTCCCGGTTTATTAATCATGAAAGTATGACTGTATAACGACAGAACAATAATATGTGACATTTTAAAATGTAAACAAAAACCAAAGTAATACTAGAAACAATTATAGATTGAATTCTCTTTTTGGGAAAACGGGGATTAAAGTTTAGAGGCCATCGTGAATCTTAAAATTTAGGAGAAGCTACACTCAATAAAGGAAACAATTTGGAACTTATTAAGCTCCCTTCCTATCTAAGAAAGATGAGTAGCCTAAACAACATTTAACTTTCCGTGACAGAAATGTAACATACTTAGAGAAGCTAGTAGGTGAAATTAAATTAACAAAGTACGTTGCTATGATTATAGATTCAACTAATGACATTAGCAGAATAGAGCTGTTTTTTGTCTATCCAATATGTTACTGAACACGGAGACGCCATCAAAAGATTTACTCAATTTTGTGAGCTACCTAAAGCTAGTGCAGATGTTTTTTTTCAGAACGATTCTTAGAGCAGATATAGGGCTGTCAATGACCGTGTACTATGGCCAGTCCTACGATGGAGCAAACTCCATGTTTCGGGAAATAACAAGATAGTGTGAAATAACAAGCCTTTTTTACACACTGCTGTGCTCAGAATTTATTTTTAATTGTTATTGATTCTGTTTCATCTAATATTCAAACACAGCTATTCTATTTTTTATTTTTGGAAAGCATTTATTTAATTTTTACCGGAAGTCTTTCTCGTCTTCATATTGAAAGAGGAGCAACGCAACATCATAGAAACATTTTCATTAACACTGCAAAAGACTTACTGATATAAAATGCGTTCCTAAAAAACAGCAGTAGATTCTATGTATTCCAACACTTTTTCTTACATTGCGGAGTATAGTTGACGGCTAAGTTAAAATCTTTACTTCTAAACAGATTGCCGAAGGAAATGTAATTCTCGTGACATTTGAGATTTTAGGTGTTTTAATATTCTGGAAAATAATTTAACTTATCTATTTATTTGCAGAAAAGTAGCTTTGATGTTTTAACAGCTTTTCGATTAATTCAGATTTTTATAAATGAGATGAGAATCTGGAGAAATAAATTTGATTCAGAATTTGAGAAGATTGATGACACCACTGAGCTGGCTGAGAAATTTGATTTGTGAGCAACACAGGGTATAGAAACGGAAAATATTCCTTGACAAAGGTGCATAAGAGACGCAGTTATCTGACGCTAAGTTCATTGGTCAAACTTATTGTATGTCGCTGGACTAGTAGAAACATACGTTTTCAAAATTTTGAAGAAAAATCGTCCATGTTTTTTTGCTTAGACCCAAAACATTTTTCATTTGACGACTAATACATTTGGAGCAATTAGCAGTGACGTACTCGGATGTTGTTGAAATAGGAACTGAAGTGGTGCATGAATTCCTATCATTTATAACCACGCTAGAGGATTTTAAGAAAAGTTAGGTAATCGAGCACTTTCTGGCTAAACTGCATGAAGATTCAAATGGTTGATTGTTTCTCATTTTATATTTATATTTCTTATTCCCACGTTTTCTTTAACTTGCTTTCGTCTCTGTTTTTCCGATCAAATCTTGCGATCGAAATTTCTGGCACTTCCCAGTTAGCTAGTGCGCTGAAATTTTCAGGGAAGCTTTCTTTTGGATGACAATAGAATATTCAATTATTATTATTACTAAATTGATCCATGGAAACATTTTATTGAGCATTTTAGACCGCTATATAATTGTAGTAAAAACGTGGGGCGCCGTGATTTTCTTACAGTTACTAATAATGTTGACTCTCTACAAGCTCCCTAATAAAAGTCAACAGTATTATCTAATCAATAGTAATATAACTTTTACTTCGGCGCCCCACGTTTTTTATCGCTTATAGTAGAGTGATCGCTTACATTATTGTAATTTATAGCGTTTATTTTCTACTTTTTAGTTCAATCAGAAAACGTGGGTTTTTTAAAACTTTTTTAATGATTATTATTTGATGTCAGTTCATGATACACTACAATAGTACTTTATATTATGCCATGATAATGTTGACAAGCTTTTGTGAAACTTTATATTTTCTAAGCAGCGTCCACCAAATTTCTTTAAATACATTATCAAAGGCTTATAGTAGCCCGAATATTTAAACTACATGTGAGCTATTCTCTATGACTTGTTGCACGGTAGGCGAGGTGGTTTATTATGTAAGCGTTAAGATCATAGCTAATAACAAAGAGAGAACGATTGAGTACAGACCATTTTCTTTAAAATTAGATTGACCCGTTCTAA